TTGTGCCCCCATGATGAGTTCAGAATTTTGGCTTCCATCTGTAACCAAAAACTTTCCATATTTTGCAAAGAAGTATTTTGCTAACTTGTTTTCAGTAGCCAATCTCTTTGAAAATACTTAAGGTAGATTTGGTTATGTCTGTCTTCCCATAACTTACTATAAGCAATTTTAAAAGGTTCTGCTTTAAAAAAGAGCTTTTCAAATGTAGAAAGAACAGTGTGAAATGTGAATGACTGGCTTTTAATACAACGGTTGTGACAAAGAGGCAGTGGCTTTTGGAAGCTGAATAAAGGGGTTAATACACATGCATCTGCATACTGCTGTTGGGTCCAATGCATAACATGTTTGACATTTGTTTAGTTCACTTGTTAGTCTAAAAAGAATAGTACGTTATTCTCTCAAACCAGCTTATAATTTTTTTAGCAGTGAGCTCTTTTTAAAACCATAGATACAGACAGATAGACTTGATGGGAAAAACTGAACATTTACTGGTACTTGCCCAAACTTCAAAGCTTAGCTCTTTGTTGTTTGAACATCACATTTATCTGGTTCTAAAGGCATAAAAATGAAACACTCACTAACTGCCTAGGACACTCCTTAGGGCCTATCAAAACCCAACCTTTACCCTCCTCTGCATGAATGTGCTTAGGTGAATACTTTTATTAGCTTGTTGATACAAGTTATAGTTGGTTACACCCTTTCTTAATAAAACACACCCTTATTGTCTCCTGTTGCTTAAGAGCTTTAAACTTGGAACAGGGGAGCTCTCTAATACAGATGGATCCTCAGTTTAAATCTCCTAGGCAGTTTTGAATGAATATATGATGCATACCATACACACAAGCATCCCTCTATTTGGTAGTCCTCCTTTGGGGGAGCGAGGAAAGCAAGTGTTGCTGTGTCTTGTTCCTGGGTTCCGTATATTGCTCTTGGAGTAAGAGACTGTAAGTAATCTGTGCATTTTATATTTCCCAGGGTGTTTCATGGCTTAATCAGGTTAGGGTTGGCCAATGATAATGGAAAAGTTATAAGCGATTGGTTTTTAGATTATTTATGAATTTATTCTTAAATTGGCCTATGAATTTGTGTTTAGGTGTCTGGTTGTGCTCTAAATCTGGTTCTGATTTGGTTTTGACCCTTTAGGATTGAACAAAGGTAGACAGTTTAGCTCCCCACCACCCCATTACAGTTCACATAGTTTTAAATCAAGAGTTGAACTGACTTTATATCTACTCTTCTGAATTGAACAGAACCTTTGGATAGGATTTTTTATAATAAAGAACCATGGAGTTGAACACTAAAAAGTTGAGGGTGTTTTATAATATATCTGTGGGACATATTATGTCATGTGGGGAAGAGCTTATAGTATGGAAGGTTAAGTGTGAAATAGGCCTCAATGTATGTATTTTTAGCCTTTGGAGATTCAAATTTAGAAAATGAGAAATAGGTATTCATTGGTTAGTAGCACAACTTCTTAAGCAGGTATATTCTAGACAGTCTTAAGAAAGCCTCAGAACCAGAAAAACAGGCTGCTTTAGGTTGGAAAGGAGGTGTTACAGCAAAGGAGGTGGCCATAACCACCATCCTTCGAATTTTGTGAGGCTAAAATCATCCCGAAAGCAACAAGAATAATGGTTGTAATAATTGTTTCCAGGCTTAGGACCCCTGCATTTTGTTTTTTAAGTTGACCTGATGAACTAGTAATTGCAGAAATAAACTGAGTGTTTGCCAGCAGGAGTCACTCTAGGCCTCCTAATAAAAAGTTAGTAAATTAAACTCTTATCTTTAAAGCTCTCAAAGACTGCGGTGATTCTGTGATATCAGATGGCTTTAGGGAAATGCTGATGCTTTTGGTTAAATGTAGCAGCATTCTCAGATTATCCCTTGTGCCTACCTTTGTTCACTCTAGGTTCTTGGTTATTATTCCTTTCAAAATTGCCCCTTAATGCATTTTTTAAAGCAATGTATAAGGGTTAAGGATAGCAGTATCTTAATATTCTGTATATTAGCTCATTTTAGCTTCCTTAGGATGAACCGATTATATCCTGCATCATGTGCTTGAAATGAATAGACTCACATCCTTTCCACTGACTGTTGTCCATCCTTACCATGCAGCAGAAATCACTGGAGTGAGCCGTACCTAGTTAGTGTGAAAGGAGACGTTAGCTTGTGCGTTTCTGAAAAGAATGGGTCCAGTGTGATGACAAACTGCATATTTCAGCAACAGCCATGAAATAGAATAGTTTCCCAAGTGCACACAGGCTCAAGAAGTTAATTGTTCATTTATGTTTGATACTGGGATTGAAACATTGGATTAAAACCAATTAAATGTTCCTAGAAGCAACAGAAAAAGTTTCCTGATTTATGAATAGAACCATTCAAATGTTGCAGACACAATCCATGTAAAGTAATGAGGTGTTTTGTTTTTTTGGCAAAAGGATAACACAAAACAGGCATAGGGAGTTCTTTTTAAAAAACCTTCTCTTTAAAATCTCTTTTTGGATACAAGGTCAATAAAGTAACGTACACGGGGAGGGAGGAGTAATGGGCTTCACTTCACAAGGAAAACAATCCCCCTCCCCCAGGTGAGCAGCACAATGAAAATACTCTGCTTATTCTATCAGGGTTACATTCCTGAACTTAAGTCAACATCCTAAGTTACAGAACTAAACATGCTCTGCCTCTGCTTAGCAACCACAAATCCTTCCTTCGCCAGTTGCATGTATTTTGGATGTGGCTTCTGAAGTACACATTCCTTTATTTCGATCAGTGCCCAGAGTTAGGAAACTAGCTTTACTTTCCCAAAGTGTGACAACACTTCGAGGTGCCCCCCTCCCCTGCCATTCTGCACGCCACTGAAATGTTCATTTCTTTTCAGCCTCAACACCTAAC